AACTGCAGCTGAGAGAGAAATGATAATCCGCCTACATAAACAAAATAAATCATACTCCGAAATTGGAAAAATAGTAAACGGAAGTAGATTTAGCATTAGAAGCATAATAAAACAATTTCAAAACAACGAACATTTTGAAAGTCGAAAACGTACCGAAAGAGGAGATTCAAATTGTAAGAAAAATAAAAAAAAAATCCAAAAATATCATCCAAAAACAATACGCAGAACGCTACATCGTGCTGGTTATAGTGCGAGAGTAGCCAGGCGAAAACCTCACATCCGTGAGATCAATAAAAAGAAGAGAATAGAATTTGCTAAAAATTTCGGTAATAAACCCAAAGAATTTTGGAACAATGTGTTATTCTCCGAACAGATGGTAGAATATTGGTATGGCGAAAACCGAATACTGAATTAGAAGAAAAAAATTTAGTAAGCACGGTAAAACATGGAGGAGGGGGAGTAATGGTATGGGGTTGTATGGCCGCATCAGGTGTAGGCGAATTAGTGTTTATTGACGAAATCATGGATAAGAAAGTTTACCTAAATATATTGAAAGAAAATCTAAAGAAAAGTGCAGAGAAGTTGGGGTTAAACAAAAACTTTTATTTTCAACAGGATAACGATCCGAAACATACCGCCTATGATGTGAGGATGATGATCGTATACAATATTCCACATATCCTTCCTTCACCTCCTTAATCCCCCGACCTCAACCCTATCGAGCATTTGTGGGAGGAACTAGAAAGGAGAATTAGAAAAAATAAAGTTTCTAACAAAACCGACCTTAAAAACATTTTACAAAAAGAATGGCATAATATTGGGGAGGAAGTTACCAAAAAACTAGTATCTTCCATGACCAATAGACTCGCCGAAGTTCTAAAAAAGAAGGGATTTCCAACAAGATACTAAACAAATGATTTTTTTTATTAAAACGCCAACTGTGCCAATAATTTTGTCTACCCAAAAATAGGGTGTAAAACTTTCTTTTGTTGTTGTTGTTTATATAAATGATTATATTTTATATTTCTATGTAATACTAAGTAGTAAGGATGTTAATTATTATTTTTCGTGAAACAACTGAATAAAATTTTTGTTTTAAATTTACCTAGACCATAATATTACTTAATAGTATCAAGTGTGGCAATACTTTAGTCCATCACTGTATA